GAGAAACGCTGGGCTGGAGGAATCACAAGCTGGAATCAAGATTGCTGGGAGAAATATCAATAACCTCAAATATGCAGATGACACCACCCTTTTGGCAGAAAGCGAAGAACTAAAGAGCCTCTTGAAAGTGAAAGAAGAGGGTGAAAAATTGGCTTAAAACTCAACATTCAGAAAACTAAGATCATGGCATCTGGTCCTATCCCTTCATGGCAAATAGATGGGAAAGCAATGGAAACAGTGGCAGATTTTATTTTTTTGGGCTCCAAAATCACTGGAGATAGTGACTGTAGCCATGAAATTAAAAGACGCTTGCTCCTTGGAAGAAAGGCTATGACCAACCTTGACGTCATATTAAAAAGCAGAGACATTACTTTGCCAACAGACTATCTAGTCAAAGCTATGGTTTTTCCAGTAGTCTTGTATGAATGTGAGAGCTCACAATAAAGAAAGCTGCTGCTGCTGCTAAATAAGTTGCTTCAGTCTTGTCTGACTCTGTGCAACCCCATAGACGGCAGCCCACCAGGCTGAGTGGTGAAGAATTGATGCTTTTGAACTATGGTGTTGGGGAAGATTCTTGAGAGTCCCTTGGACTGCAAGGAGATCCAACCAGTTCATCCTAAAAGAAATCAGTCCTGAATATTCATTGCAAGGATTGATGCTGACGCTGAAACTCCAATACTTTAGCCACCTGATGCGAAGAACTGACTCATTGGAAAAGACTGTGATGCTGGGAAAGATTGAATGCAGGAGAAGGGGATGACAGAAGATGAGATGGTTGGATGGTATCACCGACTCAATGGACATGAGTTTGAGTAAACTCTGGGAGTTGGTGATGGACAGGGAGGCCTGGCGTGCTGCAGTCCATGGGGTTGTAGAGTCAGACACGGCTGAGCTGAACTAAGCTGTTCTGATTGGATTCAGAGGTGGGGGAACGTCCAAGTGGCTTTGAAAGGAGGGTAAATGCTGAACATTTATCACGTAAGTTCTTACTGTCAATAGCTCAGCAGAAACCAAAAGGCATTTACAATGCCCTAAATTGCAGTCATTTTTTACTGTAAAAATTCAACATAGAGTCTATAGTTTGGAGCCACGCAGACTTGAAGGGGCTGCTATTACCTTGATGCGCATTTTCAACCAGGTGAGACCCTGAATGAGAGAGAGAATTCTCACCCGGATGAGACGCAGACCTCAGCAAAGCTGCAGCCTTTCCTTGAGTCTTGGCTTCTTTACCCCCAAGTGCTGCACACTGACCACATCCAGGAGGATCCAATTTGGAGTCAGCCTCTCACAGTCATTAAGAGAGTTCAGTTCACGTGTCCTTGTCGTAGAAGAAATTAGGAGAGATTCGGTTACCAAAATAAACAGGTAACAACAGAAACAAAACCTCAGTCAGAGTCTGAATGGGGGTGAGGAGAGAATAGAATAAAATGTATGTCAATAACCTATTCTATATTTATGTCCCCTTTTAATGTTTGCATGTGTGTGTGTTAGAACACGCGCTTAGAAGACCCTGCAGATCTCCATCCAAGCAACTCACTGTAGCCAATAAAAAAAGATTAATTCATCTGATTCATCAGAGAAAAGAAAAAATACCAGGTAGACAAATACTAGAGTCACCCTGCAATTTATAATCAGGACTGTCAGGTAGGTGGAACAGAGGAGTGTTTCTTGCTAAATGGGCCCGGATTGCAGACATTCGCCACTTTATTTTCGGAGCGCAGACACGAACTTCACCCTGATAGATGGAGTCCAGGCTGCCAGGTCTCAGGCAGTCTTTCGTACTGTGCTCACCTAGAAACACAAGCAGCAGTGGCAGAGGGTCTAGCCCCATCGCCCCCTCCCTTGTAATCTGGGCAGGTCACCTCTTCTGGCCTGCCTTTGCCCACCAGGCAGTTCGAGTTGCCTTTAGAGACCTTAACTCCAACATTTTAACATCAAGAACCAGGCTAGTTTTGAGGAGGTGTGCATTGCACGCCTAGACTTGGCAAGGGAAGGCCCTGGTTTAATCATCTACTGATTACTATTATGTGACTCTGAGCAAATAGACAGATGGCTTGGGGCTGCAAGGAACAGAGGATTCAATGTAAACAGGCTTGAACAATAAAGGGATTTATGGACTCAAGCCTTAAAAAATCCCAGAGATAAAAAGATTCCAGAATGATTGGGTCAGGATGATTCAGTTTCCTTGAAGTTCTCTTGGTTCTTCCTTCTCTCAAGAGTCAATGTTGATCTCAGACTGCCATCCCCTGTGGCAGCAAGGGAAGGCTGCTGTGGTTCTGAGAGCTGTGTCCACATCCCTCCTGTTCCAGAGGGAGCCTCAGACGAGCCCAGGAGTCCAGGCAAACGTGGACTCAGCTCACTGCCCACCTGGGCAGGTGCCTACTTTTAAGCCAATCAAGGTAGGGGAATGTGATGAGCTTATTGGTTGGACCAGTCACTGCCCACTCCTTGATCTGGGGCCCACAGGGCTATTGGGTTGGGTGATTCAGGGTCACATGAAGGAGGAGGTGGCAGGGACTTCCCTGGTGGTCCAGCGTTTAAGACTTTGCCTTCCAATGCAGGGGGTGCCGGTTCGATCCCTGGTCGAGAAGCTGCGATCCCAGGTGCCTTGAGGCCAAAAAACCCAAAACATAAAACAGAAGCAATATTGTAACAAATTCAATAAAGATTTCAAGAGTGGTCCATTTAAAAAAAAAAGGAGGATGGGGATGGTGAAAAGTTGCCTGTGATCCCTTGACAGGTGCCCACGGCAAAGTCACTGGAATTCCTTCTTCAGAGGAACAGGGATGATAGCGACCATCTTCTACCGAAGTTGTCAAATAATCCTAGGAGCTCACAGAAGGAAAGTCCTTTGGAGTCAGTAAAGGCCCGTATAACTTAGTAGGTGGAGCAGACGTCCTGGTTGTTACTGTTACTTTTATTAATGCACCAAAATTTGTTTGTTTACTGTGAAATTGGTTCAGGATGATAGAACCCTTGATATCAGATGTCTCAATCAAGGATGCTGAAAATTCTGTTTCTCTCTTATAAACTTGATATTGCATGAAATTGATTTATAATTAAAATTAATTTTTATTGCATAACCAGTATACAAGTATACTTCCTCTGTAAGAAAATAAAAATATTAAAGCCCAAATCCCTACTGACCTCCTGGCATGTAACCACTTGTATGTTAGCCACCATTGTCACTGTTACGAAAACACTTGCAGGGACTTTTTCTATGCAGTTGTCCATATGGACACCCAGATAAAATATGTAAATATTTATTCCTTCAACAAACACTTATTGAAGGCACTTATTCTGCCCTGTGCCAAGTACAACATCCATGGAAAGTACATGGATGAGGCAGGAAATGAACAAACGGATAAAGAGAAGGATAAAGAAATCGAGGGTGGATGATCACAGAAGGCCTCTGGAGGAGGTGTCATCTGAACAGGGGGAGGGGGTCATGAAGGTACCTGGGGGAGGACAGATTCAGCAGAGGGGAAGGCAGGAGCAAAGACCTTGGGTTGGAACAGGTTGCCTTTCTGGGGAGCAGGGGAAGAGAAGTAAGAGGTGTGGGGGGGATTAGGGAGCCGTGAGAGCAGCCAGGCTCTGGGCTGGCAGGTGGGCTCTAAAAGCTTTTGGAAACTGTTTTCACCTAAATGTGTACAGGTCATAGAAATGTGGGTTTTAAAACATAAGCACGAACATATATGTGTGTGTGTGTATGTGCGTTTATATATAGTTTATTTGGGTGAATGAACGGAAGAGTGACTGCATCAATGAATGAGACCACGCATTCTCGGTGGGGCCATACTGTTTCCGGGGGGGGGGGGGAATCTTGGTTTGGGGGCTTGAAAACATTTTACTCTCCTTATATAAAAACACAGATGTACCTACAGATTCATAAACTATCGTCTGGTATTTCTGTGGGATTAAATTTTCATGAGGGGTAATTGAGAAAAGAAATGTCTGAAATGGCTCCTCAGGGGGTGATCATGAAATAGAGTTTGAGAAACACTCAATTAGAGGAAAATCAGTGGAAACTGCAGCCTTTTCCTCCCACATTTTGCCAAGACCCTGATAGGAACGTGGAAGACAAACCCAGACGTGTCCAAGTATGTGAAACAGTCCCTGGCACTTTCCTGGTGGAAAAAGAATAGAAGGGGGCCTCAGAACTTTGGGGAAGCAGCTTTTTTTCCTGCCGAGGGACAGATTTACAAAGGATGATATTTGCATTTTCCTGAAGCCTCTAATTTTCTCATTTGTCAGAGCCCGAGGCCCTTCCACAGCACGTGGGATGTTCGCGCACATCTAATGATCCCTTTTACCAAACAACGTCACAGCCCCTGGGAGAACAGCGGTCGGGTAGCTGAGGCTGCTGATTGCATCCCCTGAGGTCACGCTGTGCCGTCCTCGCAGGCGGGGTCTCGGGGCGCCTCCCTTCTCTGAGCTCCGTGGTTCCTGGTGAAGGTGTGCCCCGAGCCCGGGCTCCTGTGACGCAAGGGAACCCCGGAAACCGGCCCGCAGCCTGTCCCCTAGACGGCGGACGGGAGCTGGCGGACGGGAGCAGGGCGGACGTGCCCGGGGCTCCAGGAGCGAGGCCCGGGCTCCTGTGACGCAAGGGAACCACGGAAACCGGCTCGCAGCCTGTCCCCGAGACAGGGAGCAGGGCGGACGGGGGCAGGGCGGACGGGGGCAGGGCGGACGGGGGCAGGGCGGACGTGCCCGGGGCTCCAGGAGCGAGGCCCGGGCTCCTGGAAGTCCGCTCTCCTCCTGCTGGGGACCTCGATGGGGGCTCTCACCAGGGGCGGGAAGGCCGGGCGGGCTGTGCCTCTGCCCCCAGCAGAGCTCTCTGGGCCCCAGGGGGGCTTCCCCAGGGCCCCTGAGGACCCGCGTCCCTTCCCTCGCCGTCAGCTCACTCCATGTTGCTGCCGGAACACCAGCCTCTTTAGAGAAATCCAGTCCGGCCCCCGGGGCAGTGTTCCCGGGTTCCAGCTGCCCCCGCTGCACAGGCGATGGACATGAGTGTGGGGCCGCCCAGGTCACGCGAAGCCCGATGCGACACACACCTCTGCGCCCGTGGACTCGAGGACGCACCTGAAGGGATTTCAGAGCTCCAGCCGGAGCGCGGGTGGAGACCTCTGTCCCCGGGGAGCCTCCCTGTGCCCCCCAGAGAGGGTCGGACACGGTCAGTAAAGGCCCCGCGCCCCCTGAGGCTGGGGGAGGGACTGTCGGGAGTAAAAAGGACCGGCTCACCCTCCCCGCTGTTCTGAGATGCCCACCGTGCCCCACTGCGGAGCCTCTGGGCCACTTCTGGGCCCTCTCGGGTTCCCTGGGGCCCGGGCTTCCCGGGGATGCTGAAGCACACTCGCCACCCCAGACGCAGTGGAGTGCGCAGTGACCTCTGATCCAAAGCAGGAGGTGGGCATTTGTGAAACCAAAGGCCAGGGTGCCTGAGTCAGGCGCTAGGGGACAATGACGCTTTTGTGCGGACGCAGTGAATGGAGGACCGGCGGGGTGGGGGCGTGCAGGACAAGGCGTCCCTGCAGCGTCTGCGGCAAGGGCCAGGGAGCCGTCCAAGAGGGGCCCCGGGAGGCTGGGCCGCAGCGCAGCAGAGCGGGCGCTGAAACGGCGCCTTCCCAGAGCGGTGGACGGTCAGCGATGCTGGTCCTGGAGCCGGGCCAGCCTGGCGTCGGGGATTCGTGCTGCACCCCCCGCACCCCCGAAGGTGTCAGGAGCTGAGACGGTGCCCGTGGGGGCCTCGGTGTTTCCTGGGCTGTAGGTTCACTCGTGCTGTCCTGAGAGGGCGTCTGTGCCCTGACCCCTCACCCGGTGACCCTGAGGCTCCCAGGACCCTCACGCCACCTTTCCCAGGTGGACGTGGATTCCAGGGAGAGGCCGTCCATGGAGCCGCCGAGCAGAAGTCGGGGGCTGACGGGCACAGTGTTTCCCAAGTTTGGGTCCCTCGGGGGCCAATGCATGGCCATTGCCTTGTAACGCCCTTGCTGTTGCCTTATTAATATTTACCTTTAGGTCAGATGAATTCCCAGCTTTCTTAAATAAATCCGTTCATTCTGGTGCCACTTACTTTAACCGCATCCCCCATCTTAATGGAGTCACCAGGGTTTGAAGGACAAACTGGAATTTCCCCCTAAATCCTGTTAGAGTGAGTAAGTATTAGAGTAAAAGCCCACTCCCTCACCTACTGGTGTTAGCAGCTCCCCGTCTGGTGCTGAGCCTCCCGGCGGCTTCAGCGAGGCGGAAGTCTGTTTCCCACGGGGTCACGGCCTCGGCGTGGAGGCCCAGAGCTGGGCGGGCAGCTGCACGGGGTTGACCTTGACCTTCTTCTGTCCCCCTGCTTCCTCACCTTTGGACGCTCTTGTCGTCCACCTGATCTAAGGGGGCGCAGGTCCCATCAGGCAGGAGGGGAGGGGAGAGGGGCGGGGAGCACCCATCGTCTGAGGGTGCCCTGGAAGGTACACTGCGAGCTGCGACGGGAGGTTCAGCTCCAGCCGGGGTGGCTGTGTGCTCAGCTGAACACGGGCATTTCTAAAACTCCAGGAAGGAGGTGATGGATACGGGGGCCAGCCAGCAGCCTCAGCCCCTGCTGTGGGCCCCTGAGATCATCTCCCCTCCTCCAGGACGTGCACCCTGCAGGGAACGAGCCTTTGAGGAGGGCCTCCTCCTGACGCTGCTCTGGGCGTGGGGGTGAGCAGCCCCACTCAGCCTGGGGAGTGGAGGCTGCCTGAGGTTCCTCCAGCACCGAGGCAAACCCAACGCGTTTCCTGACGCCTGCCCTGCGCCTCGTGCCCATGGCGTCCACGTTACCTGACCCAGGGGCCAGGTGAGGCGCACTCGGCGTCCTGGGCTCTTCACAGCAAGCTGCAGACACAGGGCTGAGCGAGGGGGCCGTATGATTTGGCCCCGCCTGAGTTTCAGAGACAGGTGGCCAGGAGTCAGAAAGCTGGGAGGGGACATGTGTGAGGAGACACAGCTGTAAACGATGGAGCCAAAAGCCACGTGGGCCCCCAGACTCTTTTCAGAGACCCCACTGTGTCCTCACTGGTCCTGTTCCCCTGTGTGTGGGTCTCTCTTTTAAATAAATAGATGCATGACCACGAAATAAAACACTGCTGAATCTGTTCCCTGCCCATCTCTTTCCAGAGACCTCTATTCTATTCCTTCAGCTGTGTCTGCAAGTCTCTTCTAGATTTGAGTTAGTCATGGAGCTTTCAAGCTGTGCTGGTTTCTTTCAAATGTCTGAACCCTTGATGAGGGTTCAGCTCCCCTCCCCCACCTGCACCACACCTCCCACCGTCCTCCGAGGGCAAATCAGGATGATAATTATGTCATAATCATCATGGATGTCATGTGACCAGGTACATGATATTTGATGCAGAGCCTATTTTTGCAACATGGCTGCATTTTCATTCTTAGGCATCTTTTGTTTTCTCAGTTAATCATTTCCTTGTTCTTTTTACTTGCAAAATTGATTACAGATACATCATTCTCTGCAATTCCTCCATCATTTCATCCAGTCCAGTGTTTTCCAGACTGTTTTGACCACAACTCATCATAAGAAATATATTTTACAACAAGACCTGGCATGCACATACACACAGACAGAATACATGAAGCTAAAATTTTTACAAATTTCCATTGATACCTTTTGATAGTTTCTACTCAATTCTGTTATTTCATGTTTTTAAATGCTGGTTGAGACTCACAGAATCGATATCAGGCCTCACTAAGGTGGCTTGACCTACCCTTTGGGGAGCTCTGCATTAGCCCAGCTCAGACCTGCTCTTCCCAGCCCCCACACCCACCCCCACCCAGCCCCGGGCTCCTCTCTCCTGTATCCCAATAGCTTTCATCTGGAGATTTTTCTCTGCTCCTCTTCTGGGATGATTAACTGTTTGATGAACCCCATGTCTTCTTTTTCATTGGTTCTTTGATTTCCGTGAGTCACTTTCAATTTATTTCTTTTTAACTGAGGAAAAGAAAATTTTAGTGACTCTCCAGCCTATTTGATTTTTTTCACCTTTTCTCCAGTAACAGAAAAATAAAAGTGGGAAGGAGAAAATTACAATAGGAAGAAGCCAGAGAGCAAATAGGAGAATTGATTTATGCATGGTTTTGGTTCTGCACGAAGCCGGCGATACCCAGATGAAAAGCCAGGCCTCCAGCCATGTATCATTTCTGGCGACATCCAGACGATGGAATGAAATGTTGCTGTAAATCAAAGTGTCTCACCCTCGGCAAGCTTGACATTCTGGGCAGGACTGGTCTTTGTTGTGGGGACTCTCCTGAGCATTATGGGATGTTTAGCAGCACCCCTGACCTCTACCCACAAGAGACCAGTAGCCTCCCTCCCTCCCTTAGCTGTGCCAACCAAGTGTGTTTCCAGAAATCACCAAACTTGCCCTGGGGGCAGATTCACTCCAGGCTGGAATCTTTGCTCCGACTGGACCCCGCCTGTGCCCATGATTCCGGGGAGCATCATCGCCTACTGACGATGCATCAAGTGTAGTCTGAATTGGTCCATTGCATCCTCCAGAAGCCATAGCAGGTGTCATGAGCAGACACCTGTCATTTACTGCCTTGCTGGAGGACGCCACGGGGACACGTGCAAACCGGCTGGTTAGAGCCTGTTCCAGGCCAGCTCTCCTCTGACTCATGCTCCTGAGGACTGATCTCTGCCTCCTCTGAGTTATTAAAAAGTTATTAAAAACCAAAATCATTGATGCCCCAGAACTGACTACCTCTTCTTAATAGACTCACTAGCAAACTGTATAAACATAATCTGGGGCTCACGAAGCTGTTATTAAAATGGACCATTTGCCATCACTTGGGGACACGTTGCTGTACTGTTTCAGCATGAACACCAGAGACGAGGTCCGTGGGAAAGGTGACCAGAGATGCCGCTGAGATGGTTAACGGGCCAACATGTGTCTCTCACCGAGTTGAAACCACAGTCACAGCTATGGGTCTCAAGTCGACCTAGAAATTCCCTCCTAAGGAGGCGGGAGCGCCTTAGAGCCGTGCTGACCATCACCGGGTTCAGAGCAGGCTCGTCCCCCCAACAAGTCAGTGGGGGGGAGAGCAGCCGGGCAGCCACCTCTCTTCAAGCTGGGGGCGCGAGTCTGCATGGGAACTCCAGCTGGAGGGGCCAGTCATCCGCTCTAACAACTGGATTTCAGTATCACAGGCCGGCAGGAGGGCTGATCCAGAGCAGACGAGCGGGAGTGGCAGAAAAATATCAGGACGCAGGGGAGCAGAGGACGGGGTGTTTGTTTTCTCCTCCTGAGAACAGCCTCTCAGCCAGACCCAAACAGCGATTCCACATTTCCTCTGTCAGCCTGGGGCTGGGTCACTGGGCTGGAGTCCAGCTTTGGACCCCTCCTGAGTCAGGATCCTGCTCCTCCCATCGGTAAGTTCTGACTCTTCCCCAGGTCAGGAACACCCCCGAGACCTGACTGCCCCGGGCACAGGAGGAACTCTGAGGGGATGAAACCTGGGGATCGTCAACATTGTCATTGATTTGTCACTGTGTCTCAGCAAGTTCATTTTCAGAGAGCAACTTGATAACCCTTTCAGAATTTGGAGTGTCTCAATATTGTGTGCCCTAGAGGGAGGGATTAATGGATGAGGTGTCAGCCGTGAGGTTCATTTAATTAAAATCACTTGTTCCTGCAATAATTATGGCTTAAACACTCATCCTGCAATTCCAGAGCCTGGAGTGGGGATGGCGGGGGCCTGGGGCCCTGAGTTGGATGCCGGTTCTGCAGGAGCGACACGTGGCGCTTCAGGTCTCCATATTCACACTTGCACAGGAGTGAGCTGTGCGCTGGGAGCGGGTTCACACACAGGTGCTGGCAGGGGGGTTGGTGGTGGGGCAGGCCGAGGCCCGAGTTTGTGTGCTTCTCAACTCAAAACCTCGAAACTTGAGGCTGGGAGACAAGAACGTTCCTTCTCTGCTGTGGAACAGAGCTCAAAGCCAGGCCCACAGTCTTGGTTGTTCGCCTTTCAAATCCTCCTCTGTCCAGTTTTGCAGAGAGAATTCCGTTCCTGGAGGTTGCTGGAGGATGTTCATCTGTGGCCCAAGGTTAAGTTGTCTTGTCCAATGCAGCCTCCTGGGTCCTTGTGCCCCTGGGCAATCCTCTCATCTCTCTCCACGTTCTGGGCTAGGAACAGGGGAAGCACGTGATGTGTTGTTGTCCACAGACTCCAGCACACATATTTTAAAGTTAAATGTGATTCCTAGCTCCTTCTTCCAAGTGTTACTTGCGTGATCAGTTTGAGTGTGGCCGATTGCCGTGAGTGGTTTTCACAGTATGGCTAGAGGATCTGGGAGCCGAGGTGTATTATGGAGGCAGTCCTCGCTGGGGAGCCCGAGACCCAGGGCAGCAGGGCTGTCACTGGGGCTGGCGAGCCTAGCCGCTACTGCCTGGCTGGCTCTCCTCTCCCTCCGGGTGGGGTGCGGGGTCCGTGGGGGGACGTCCCTCGGGGAGGGCAGCCCCAGGCCGCAGGACAGACGATGAAGGCCTCCCCACAGCTGATCACTGATGCCCCTCTCTTGTTCTCCAAGAGGCCCCTGCAGGCAGAGGTCTGAACACCGGGCCCCAGCAGAGAGAGGGAGGCCTCAGTGAAGAAAGAAAACCCCTGGAAATCTTGTCTGTGAATCTCAGCCTTTGTTGCAGAAATGCGACCCCGACCTGAGCTAAATGCGGCTGCCCTGGGCTCGGGGGGAGCGTGGCCCCGGTCCAGTGTCTGTCCTG